CCTGATAACAATTATTCACTATTGTATCACAAGACACCTATCCGCATTTCATTTCATCAGCCCTGCCTAGACAGATTGGATACTACTTGGTGGAGATTCTAGCTTCCTCCACGCCCTCTGGATCTAGGTTTCCTCTTGAAAACTTGTAAGCCAGTCACTTCTTGCCTTTGTAGCCCCCCCCCCCCCCCATTTTGGGTAGCTAATGTCCAAGTTGCCCATCCCTGTCTACTCTGTGTGTGGAGGGGGGTGGGTGGTGGGAATGATTCTTGCTGTAAAGATTTGTTCCCTCTTTTGAGCTACTGCTTCCATAGGTGTAGGTCAAGTTCATCAAATTGTATCAGATTACTCCTTTTTTTTTTCCTCTTCTATCTTATTCTGGTTGAGCTCTGATCATCCAGTCATTGAAGCCAGGTCAAGTGGGTATTATCTGCCCGTATGGGGGTTCTTGTGCATATGCCCTCTCTACTTATCATCTGGATGCTTCACTCTCCACTCTAGTCCTCTGTGGCTATGTTACTGACTCTGGGCCCAAGAGTTCCCAGGTCTTGCCACACTGCTGGCCAACCAGGTCTTCACTCGGGTTCACAGGAGTCTATTGAACATTGTAGGGCTTAGCTCGCCGTGTCATTGCTGTTTTCCCCTCACTTCCACTTATCGGTAATGAGTGTGGTCACCAATCAGAGCGTATATTCTCATTGAGTCTTAGTCTTGGAAGGGGGTTTCACTGAGGGGACCCGGCCACTTGCCTTGATGTTTCCTGGGCAAGCAACTTGCTTGTTATTGTAGTAACAGTCGGTCTGCCTATGTTGTTTTGTATTTTCCATGGTGGTCTTTCTTTCAAGAAGTATCTTCTGTTCTTCTAGCCACTCCAGGCTGGTCTGCTCGTCCTTTCAAGTGGGAATTTCCCACTTCAGAAGATCTGGATTCGGTTCAGGCTTCCACCTATATAGTCTTAGGTAATGCAGAGACTCCGCAGGAAGCCTCCTCCACTGGGCACGTTGTAGCTCCATTTTAGGTATTCCAACCAGTTATAGGCAGAAGACGGACTTACAAGCTTTTTATGGTGATGTTTCTGGCTATTCCTTTCTCTCCCCCTCCCGTGTCTATTTTATAATGTAATGCAAGGAAAACCAAGATTCAAAAAACAGCCAAGCATCCTAACATTATTCCCCCCTTTTCCCCAGGAATGAGTTTTCTTAATGGTTCATTTTCACAAGATTTTCCTTTGCCATTCAATTAACAATTAACTACTGAAACATACTGTGACACTAATAAAAGATGTGATGCTTTTTTCTTAAAGTTTTTTTAAAATTTTCTTTTGCTATAATGATTAATCTCTTACTTAGGTAAAGTAATTCTGAGGCTATTGTATATGGATATAGCATTGCTAAAGTCACATATTTTTACTGGTTTTAATTTTTTTCTGTATGTGTGAATGTCATTAAGATTTTTCTGTGAAAGGATGGAATATATATTCAAAGATGAATATCTGTGCCAACTCAACTTACTGACTTGTGACGATGATTTGATAAAGTCCTTTCAACAGAACAGAGGAGAGTCTGTGTGCAAGAACATTTTAGTACATGGTGAAGAAGCATTTAAAATAGTGGTGGGTGGGTGTTGGGCATTTTAGGAAATGATGTGGAGACAATTAGCAATTTTTTTAGTATAAAATTATTGTGATGCAAATATATCTAAGAAAACATTTTCCATTTCCACATTGTTGTATGGATTGTTCAGTCACATGATTCTCTTTATTATGCTGCATAACCATCAACACTATTTGCTTCCAGATTATTTCCATTCCCCTTACAAGAAACTGAGTGCCCCCTAGGTGGTGATTGATATTGGCTGTTCATTTGAAGGAATAAAATAATTAGATCCCTGATGATGAACTCTTCAATCATTGTTTACAGTTTAAAGAAATACAAAAAAACTGTAAACAAGCTAAATAGATTATATACAGCATGCTGTGTCAAACCACATCAGAATATGGTTTCTTTATCTTAATGGATTCCCTCCAGCAACTGCCTCAGTTTTCAGGATTGATTATGGCATTAGATGATCCAGATAAATGAGGTTGCTCTCCCTGAATGACCTATCCTGTATCCTGGTATTGGTGTGGCTCTGTGGGTTAATGCGTCAGACTGCAAAGCTGTCTGAATTGCAGGGTCGGCGATTCAAGCTCACCAGCTGCTCCTCAGAAACCCTATACAAGGTTGCTATGGGTTGGAATCGACGCAACGGTACTTCAAAACAACAACAACAATCCTGGTATTGAAGAAGGACACATCAGGCAAATCCTAGCTTTGCTTTTGAAATGCCACCATACAGACATTGCCTCTAACAGGGATGACAAATAAGTCACTAAATGCCAGTGAAACTAGGGCAGTGGAGTACTAGAAAATCTAGGGAATAAAACAGTTATTCTGTTACCGTATGTAGTTATATTCTCACCTATGTCTGTTCTATTGATTAGTTTTTTGTGAATTTACCAGAAGGCCTAAACCGCATTATGTTGTTGTTGTTAACCGCCATGGAGTCAATTGCAACTCATAGCAACCCTATAGAGGGTTTGCGAGAAGCAGTTGGTGAGCAGTTTAACCGACTTGCAGTCCAGCACATTAACTAACTCACAGTGGTAATCAGGACTACATTATAAGTCATACTTTGTACTCTTTTTATTATTGCTAAAAGGTGAATATTACACCTTGCATTTATATTATTTCTAAAAGAAAATGATTTTCTGTTGTCTTTCGTAAAACAATTTTAGCAAATAATCAGTATACAACAGGATATATTACATGTTCAGGTATCCTTTGTAGGAAACTATGTTTAGGTACCATCTAGTCAGTTCCAACTCATAGTGACCCTATGCACAGCAAAATGAAATACTACCTGCTCCTGCATCATCCTTACAATCATTGGTATGTTTGAGCCAATTGCTGCTGCTACTGTGCCAATCCATCTTGTTGGGGACCTTTTCCTTTTTCATTAACCCTCTACTTTACCAAGCATGATATCCTTCTCCAGGGATTGGTCGCTCCTGATAATATGTCTGAAGTATGAGAGATGATGTCTCGCCATCCTGATTTCTAAGGAACATTCTGGCTGTACTTCTCCCAACACAGATTTATTTGTTCTTCTAGCAGTCCATTGTACTTTCAATATTCTTCTTCAACACCATAACTCAAATGCATTAATTCTTCCATCTGTTACTTTTTCATTGTTCAACTTTTATGTACATAAGAAGCTACTGAAACCACCATGGTTTGGGTCAGGTACACCTTAATCCTCATAATGACAACTTTGTCCTTAAACAATTTAAGGAGGTCTTGTGCAGCAGGTTTGTCTAATATTATATGCCGTTTGCTTTTTTGACTCCTGTTTCCATGAGTGTGGATAGTGGATTCAAGCAAAATTAAGTCTCAGACGACTTCAATCTTTTCATGATACTATTTATTGTTCCATTTATGTTTTTCTTTTGTTTACAATGAGGTGCAAACCACACTGAAGATTGTGGTCTTTGATCTTCATCAATTAAGTATTTTGAATTTTCTTCCTTCTCAGCAAGCAAGGTTGTATCATCTGCATATCTCAGGTTGTTAATGAATCTTCCTTCCTATCTTGATGCCATATTCTTCATATTATTTCCCGATCCTCCAATTATTTTCACAGCATTGAGTGTATAAGTATGGTAAAAGACTACAACATTGTCACACACCATTCCTGATTTTAAACCATTCAGTGTCCTCTAGTTCTGTTTGAATCACTGACTCTTGGTCTGTGCACAAGTTCCTTATGAATACAACTAAGTGTTCTGAAGTATCCATTCTTCGGAATGTTATCCATAGCTTGTCATGATCCACATAGTTAAAAGCCTTTGCATAGTCAAAAAAGTAAAAGTAAACATTTTTCTGGTAATTTCTGCACTGAGTCAAGATCCAGCGGACATCCAGCCCTCTTTATACTTTTTCATCTGAATCCAGCTTGAACTTCTGGCAGTTCCCTGTCAGTGTTCTCTTGCAGCTGTTTTTAATTTATCTAACCTGGTGTGGCACTGTGGGTTAATGTGTCAGAATGCAAAGCTGTTTGAATTGCAAGGTCGGCGGTTCAAGCTCACCAGCTGCTTCTCGGAAACCCTATACAGGGTTTCTATGGGTTGGTACCAACTCAACGGCACTTAACAACAACATATATATACATACATATAAAGGTTTAATTGAGTGGAAACTGTAGCTACCTTTCTTTTCCTTACTTAATACATTGTACTTGTGAGGGTCAGAATATCTGAATTTTCTAGTCCAATCTTGAGTATTATACGTATAATATATTGAGACATTTATATATTATATGCTGTTTACATAGTAACTAATTTCCTTATCCTTAAAGCATTATGCTTTTTTATTGACCTGGATCATCTTGAGAAGCTACCTAACCAATCACCAAAATGGTGTGTCTTAATACGTTGGAGATAAGAAAACATATTATTTATCTTATAATAAATTGTGATTTTAATGGTCAGTAATTTAGAGACGGTCTTTGAATTAAGGGAATATGGCAAACTGATTTGATTAAAATAGCTAGAAGACATCTAGATATTTTCAACAATATCAGTTTGGTTGGCTTTGAATCATGAACCTTTCATACTTAGCATGGCCTTTGGTCACTGATTAACTCATACAGTCTTGCACACATTTTAATTGATAATTGTGATCATTCAAAATGAACAAGGCAAGTTTTTACAAGAAGTCCTGATGTGGTGCTGTGGGTTAATGTGCTGGACTGCAAAGTTGGCTTAAACTGCAAGGTCAGCAGTTCAAGTTCACCGTCCACTCCTTGGAAACCCTATACAGGGTCGCTATGGGTCGGAACTGACTCAGCAGCACTTACCAACAACTATACTGTAATGAATTGTCTAGGAAACTAAGAACATAAAATTTGAGATTTCCCAATTTGAGCTGTAGAAAAGGCTTTATTATATTCTTTTTCTGTTTTAGAAAATGGACGTACCCAACTTGGAGAATTGTTACCATGCAAGATTTGTGGAAGAACATTCTTTCCAGTAGCATTGGTGAGTAAACGGATTCTGTATTTTATTAATGTTGGGATTTGGCAACTCAATGAATGCTAAATACTGCAGGACCACATGCAAGGGAAGACCCAATTTTTAATTATTTGAGGAGCTCCTGGGTATTATTCTCTGCTCCAGAAATTCCATCCATTGTGTTTATTCTAGATTTTTTGTTTTGCTTTGGAGTGTGATTGGATTTTAAAACACTTTTATTAAAATGTTAAAAATGCTTCAGGGAAAATTAAAGGGAATAGATGAGACAAAAATGTTCAGCTGTTGGTCATTGTTGAAGCTGAGTGATGAGTAAATGGGATTTTTATATCCTTTTTCTCAATTCTTTTGTATACATGAAAAATACCCCTCCATTTTTAAAAAATTTTAAATTGAAGATAGAATATATTATGCATTGTATAGCTAGTTTTGGCTATTGAAATAAGTGTAAGTAAAGTACTTTTAACGGATCTTAATTGAAGAAACAATAAATAGGGCATAATAAAGAATAATACCTTTTTACTGTATACATTTTATTTTATCAAGCTTATTAACATTTTTATACAGAACAAAGACTATTTGAATATGAGTCTGCTGATTAGATATCTGCTATGTATTCTTACTACTTTTACTACTACAGTTTGTTTCTTTTTTAAAAAAAGTGAGAAAATAATGATCTCTGAACATCCTTATCACTGCTGATTCTATTAAAAGAATGGTAGCTTTTAAAAAATCCTTTTAAATATGGCTTCTCTGCATATAATTGATTTTGTTTTCTTATCAGTTTATTATCGTTCAGAATATTTTAAGGATATAGCTAACTTTTCACACAAAAAAAATACTTTTTTTGTCTGTATGTATTTATTTAATATTTAATTACATGATGGAGTCACTGTAGTTAACAGCTTGTATAATCAAGCTTGAAGCACATACCACTGACTTGACATATGCCAGTCAACTGATGGGAGCAGATGTGCATGAGCCTGCTAGAAAATAGCCTATTAGCCCCACTTTTCTTTTCTTTTAATAGTTAAGAGATTGTATTACAATAATTCTAATTAAACTCCTGTTTGTTAACATGAAAAATGAAAACAGGTATACTCATTATGTATTAAAAGCAGTAAGAGATTCCATGACACCAAAAATAACTGCTTCTGAGTTTTGGTTCTTTTTTGCCCTAAGATAAAAGTTTAACAGTTATAGTTTCTTCAGTGTTTATTAAAATACCAAAAGAAATAGTGCATTTAGTGCACTGATTTCATCTGTAGCCATGTTTTATACAGGTTATGGCGAATGTTACTCATCCAAAAATTTACATGGATGTCAGTTAAGAAAGCTTCCATTGTAATGCCCTTAAATTAAGTAGTTAATTAATGAATTAATTAATCATTTGGCAGCTGTATTGAACACAAAACATAAAACCCCGATGGGAGTGGATAGCCTTAGGAAGGAAGTACACTGGGTAAATAACCTGCTCTGGATACCTCAAGAAAAATCCTAGATTGAGCTCCAAAGAGAGGAATGATTAAGTGTAGGGGGAGGACACAAATCTCACTTTTGTCTACTTTGTTATGACACCTTTATTTTTGGTGTACATTTTATGTAATGACTGCTGCTATATTAACTTCTGTAATCCTGGCTCTTCATAACCCTAAAACTAATGAATTCCTTTCCATTGTGTCCTGTCTCTAGCATCCGTGACTAGGTTTATCTTGACATAGAGCAGTCAAATAGCTCTGAAATGCTTATATTATTTTGTGAGCGATATAAAATGCATTACATATAATACATTAAACCATTTAAATTTAGTTAAGATGAGATAGAAATGAATTTCTATGTCATGAAATATGACAAGCTTATTATTCAAATTACCTGCATGATTTGTAAACTTGAGTTGCTAGAATCCCAAATTTCTCTGCCACAGTATGAGGGGGCCTCAGACAGTTCCCGTTAAAATACAATTAAAACACAACGGAACTTTTTGAGGCCCCCTTGTATAGGTTCTAAAGATTTTCATTTCAGGCTCAGAAAGTACTGTTTGGAGAAGGAAACTGAGAACAGTGGACATCAACACAGAAACAATAAAATCTTCAGAGGAAATGTGCAACTATATTTGAACTGGGGCAAATAGAGTCTTAGAGGGTTGTGGTAAAGTGCCAAGGTATTTGAGTAAAACTAGCTCATTCTCTTGTGGAAATTATTATTTTTTTAGGTATATTGAAACATAATAAAAGTTTTTTTTTTCCTCCTAAAGTTAGGGACTGAAAAGAGAAGGAGCAAAGTGTTACACATCAACTTGGGCAGTATGTCTATTATGTGCATACCCACTTTTCATACCGAACAGAATCTGGTGCATAGTAGTCCTTTAGAAAATATTGTTGAATAAGTTGTACATTGCATTTGTTACATAAACTGTTCATATAATTTACTATTTATCTGTTATTTTCCCTCTTAAGTTCTATAGTTTTCCTTTCCATATAAAAGAAAATGATACCTTGTATTTCTTCATCTTAACAGAAAAAGCATGGACCCATTTGCCAGAAAACTGCCACTAAAAAAAGGAAGACTTTTGATTCAAGCAGACAAAGAGCTGAAGGAACTGACATTCCAACAGTAAAACCCCTTAAGCCTAGGGTAATTACGTACTCTTTTAAAATCAGTATGAATCTTGCTACTGTATACACAGGAAAATGGCCTTGTATTTGGTGTCATACTACGTTTGAAGAATATACAAAGTTGTTCTATTTCATATTTTAAGTTTAGAAATGGACTCAAGCATGTTTATTTTAAACTTCTGCAAGGAAAGCTAGACTATTGTCTCAAACTCCAGAAATGACAGTAAGGTATTTGTAGCAATGTACAGTCAGCTGCTTAGCTCTAAGCAGGAAATAATTAAAACAACTCTTCATGTGTTCTTTGTAAGTTGTTGTTAATCATTTCAGATATACCTTAAGTATAATTTTTGAACGTTTACTGCCTCTCAGCATAGTCATCTATTATGACCTGTGGTCATTCACTTATGTTTTATGAATCTCTCTGGTAATCCTACCTACACTAATCCTCAAAACCAGGTGGTGGTGGTGGTGGTGGCGGTGGTTGTGTGCCTTTTAGTTGGTGCAACTCATTAATAGGATGTCCAAGGCTGTAAATCTTTACGGGAACAGAAAGCTTCATCTTTCTTCCATGAAACAACTGGTAGATTCAAAGTGCTGACCTTGTGGTTAGCAGCCCAATTTGTATTTCTTTCCTTGATCACCACTGATTTTGTATGTAGTCTTATATATGCAGGCACTTCAAAAAGTTCACGGAAAAATGGAGTTAGAAGGTAATGAAATTTTTCCACAAACTTTGTTGTCTATATTTTGGTGAAACAGCAGATTTGGAGACTCTTGTATTAGTTTTAAGAATTTTCTCATACTTTTGAGTGTACCATTGGTTTATAAATTTTTTAAATCAATTTTTTATATATGTTATTGTTATGATTACCTCTAATTTTTAAATGTTTTCAAAAACTTTTATATAATCAATTTTCATTTGAAAAGAGCTCTATGAGCTTTAAGTTAAAAATCTGTTAGGAAGTTAATTTATAATTGAAGTGAAAAAATATTTTGTTTTTGGAGAAGATTTACATATCAAATTAGGTTCTCGTTGAACAATTTCTGTACATACTATTCAGTGACATTGAGTACACTTTTCACAATGTGTGTCAGAATCTTATTTTTTCATACTGGTTGTTCTATTTCCACCTATACTTCCTCCATAGGCTGGGAGCCCATTGCTCTGATTCGTGCTCTGGTTCTTGGTTCTGCTGCTGCTACTCCTCTGCCACTCTTCCGGTGTCACCACTGTGTGTCCCAGGTTGAGGAGTTTCAGTGTTCAGGGATCTTGGAGTCCAAGAGATACACGCTACTCCTGACTCTTCTTTGATGATAGTGAAAGCCACTTCCTGCTTTTAAGACAGTTCATTCTATACCCATGCTACATTTTCAACTTTTTCCAATTATGTTGGCTGTGTGCTGTGGAGTTGGTTCCGACTCATAGCGACCCTGAACAGGGTTTCCAAGGCTGTAAATCTTTACAGGAGCAGAAAGCCTCATCTTTCTCCCGCGCAACAGCTGGTAGTTTCGAACTGCTGACCTTAAGGTTCGTAGCCTGATTCATAACCACTATGCTACCAGAGCTCCCTCTGTTAATATCCACAGCTGAATCATGTCTTCCCATCAATATCTTCTACTTTCTCTTAACCAGACCAAGCAGGGCAGAAATGTCATTTGGTGGGAGTTAAGTCTATATTAAGTTGTTGTTTGGTGCTGTTGAGTTGGTTCTGACTTAAAGTGACCCTATGCACAGCTGAATGAAACCCAGCCCGACATTTCTGCGCCATCCTCACAACTGTTACACCTGAGCTCATTGCTGCTGCCATGGTTCCAGTCCGTTACATTGGGGCTCTTCCTCTATTTTGTTGACCCTCCACTTTACCAAGCATGATGTCCTTCTCCATAACATGTCTGAAGTATGAGAGATGAACTCTCGCCATCCTGACTTCTAAGGAGCATTCTGGCTATGTTTCTCCCAAAACAGATTTGTTTATTGTTCTGGCAGTCCGTGGTACTTTTAATTTTCCTCTTGGTGTGGCATTTCAGGGTAAGCACTGGACTGAGAACCACAGGTCAGCGGTTCAACCCCACCAGCTGCTGCTGGAAACACTATACAGGGTTGCTATTAGTCGGAGTGTACTCGACGGCCCTTAACAACAACAACCAACATCATAACTCAAATGCATTAGTTCTTCAACGATCTTCTATAGAAGAGACAATGGATAATTCACTACAACACAGTATGGTTACTTATTATTGTCTATTTTATAATAGTGAGATCAAACATTTATCCTTTTCTGATTGACTTATTTCACTTAGCATTACGTCCTCCGGTTTCATCCATATTATAATGTGTTTTGAGAACTCATGATTATTATTTATGGTTGACGGCACTTAACAACAACAACAACAACAACAATATAATTGAATTTTTAAACGTACATCTGCTTTGAAATTTAAAAAGAATAAATAGATAATTTAGAATGGAGCTTCAAAGTTTTCATAGAAAAGTTCCATTATCTTTTCATCCATTTTTCCATGAACTGTTTAAGCCCCCTCATATGTCATTGAAAATCTTGACCCATATTGCATTTGGAGCTTTATATAATATTATTTTATTTTCTTACTTTATATTTGTTGAATGGCTTTCTGAATTTTTCTTCTTATAAGGGAAGGAATAGGAGAAATTAATGGACATAATAAGCTAATTTTAGATATGTTGTAATGCAAGTTCAAAGTGAACTCCATTTGTACTTAAAATTTTAAAGATGTTTCCATTTAGTACCTGTGGCTCCATAAGATATGCATTTAACTGTGAATCACATGCCGGCAGGTGGTTTGAGCCTATCAGCTGTTCAGTGGGAGAAAGATGAGGCTTTCTGCTCTCGCAAATATTTAAAGCCTCAGAAACCCTATTAAGGGTCGCTATGAGTCAGAACCAGCTCAAAGACACTTAACAACAACAGCATAGATAGTGTAATCCTTTTGTAAAGAAATTGAATTGGTATTCACAGATATCATAGCACAATAGATGTTAATTTTCTTTATTGATGCCAGTATTTTTGCAAAAAAGTTTTACCAGTTGCTCAGTTATCCATTTAATCTAGCTATTATCAGCTTGTTTTCTTTGTTGTAATCAGAGCAAAGACCATTCTGTGATACACTTCCCTTAATAGCACCTGTGATGTCAAATAAACCAACTAAAAAATACTTCACGTAGTTTTAGAGAGTAACATCAATGAAGTGGTTGAAGTTTAGCACCTGATTAAACAAACTTTTGAAACAAATTCTATTTTCAGTGGCAGTAACTTCTAAGAAAAGCATTTCTGTATGAAAGAATTAATCTTATTGATAAATCATTTGATAATTGAAAAATCAAATGTACATCTTTGGTTTTTATCTGTGAATGTTTAAGGGTAAAGTACATGAACCAATTTTGAAGTTTTTTCTTAGTAACCTGCAAAATAATATGATAGTATTAGCTGTAATTATCTTAGGTAGAACACTAATCAAACCCCAGAGGCAGTATGGCATGGCAAGTTATGAAAGCTGACTCAAGAGTCAGTTGCTTAGATTTAACCCTGGCTCTGATGCTTATTATGTTGTGCTGAAAAAAATACTTATATCTATTTGTGTTTTTGTTTTATGTGTAAAATGGAGTTACAGTATCTGTCCCATGAGATTATTGTGAAGATTACATTAGATTATTCATAGAACTCATTAAATCAGTACCTGGCACATGATGTTCTCTCTCTGTCTCTCTCACACACACTCTATATCTCTTACACACACGCACGCATACACACACACACAAATTATCTGCCTTATTTCTTAAATTGTATACTTAAAAAACTCATTTGAAAAATATTTGAAGTAAGAATTGCTTGCTTTCAGTATCTTGTAACTCAAGTGTGGTTCATAGAGAATCAACACCAGTGCTACTTGTGAACTTGTTAGAAATGCAGAATCTCAGGTCTTTCACAGTTTTACTAAATTAGAGTCTCCAGTTTAACAAGATCTCTTGGTGATTTGATACACACATTAAACTTTGAGAAGCAATGTTTATGAAATTAAAACATAGTTTTCAATATCCTTACTTGTCTCAGTGAAATCCTACAAAATTGCAAGCAGAATGGGAAAAAAACAGGTATGACTCACATTTTGGAAGAACTAATAGCATGCAGAAGCCATTCAAAATATGTGTAAGACCCTCCCCAAACAGTTGAGACATGGGGGAAGCTATGCAGGAGAGGTGCAGGAAGTCTATGGGGGACCTAGGATGGCAAGTTCCCAGAATGCCAGCAAAAAAGCACTGTATAGGTGTAAGGGGTTTTATCCGTAATTAAGACAGTTGTTTTGTGCCGTGGAGTCAATTCCAACTCATAGTGACCCTGTACAGGGTTTCCGAGGCCGTAAATCTTTACGGGAGCAGAAAGCTTCATCTTTCTCCTGCGGAACAGCTAGTAGTTTCGAATTGCTGACCCTGCGGTTCGCAGCCTGATTCGTAACCACTATGCTACCAGAGCTCCTTAATGAAGACAGTTACAGGAGAGTAAGTCAAAGTGTATTGCTATTAGGGCTCTACTTCATACACAGGTTTATTCCAAAGCCTATTTATACATGTCTCTGTGATCCTTGAATGACTATAGACAAGTTTTCTCAGTAATACAATTTTGTAGTGTCATTAGGGTGGTGGTTGTTGTTACAAGTGCCATCAAGTCGGTTCCGACCCATAGTGACCCTGTACAGGGTTTCCAAGGAGCAGCTGGTGAACTTGAACTACCAACCTTGCAATTCAAATGACTTTGCAATCTGATGCATTAACTCACAGCGCCACACCAGGACTCCGTCATTAGGGTACTTCCCCAGAAAAGGTCCAATTAAAACAGTGGCTTCCAAGGAGATCTGCTGGGCCATTTAAATTCATGGCAGAGCTGTCAGCCACAAAGTTTTGGTGACTGTCTTTTGGGGTTCCAAAGTAATAAAGTTGATAGATTTCCTTGACGGACACAGGACAATTTGGGGGCTTTATTGCCT